CGTTCTTGTCACACAAAAAGCTATTAAAAAAAAATTTATTTTAGAGATTTAGTTTCAAGTTATGGTGTTTGGCTTATGAGTTTAAAAATTAATTATTACTTTGTTTATATTTTATTGTTTGATTACGATTTTGAGTGTAAGTTATTTTTAATTTAATATTACATTTTTAATGATTTTAAATATTACCTCTTATTAAATAATATTTTTATTACGAATTAATTTGAATATTTACAATTATTTTAAAATAAAATTAAAAAGTAAAATAAAATTAAAAACGCATTAATGTAGTGTTAAATAAAAAATGCAAATTCAATAAATCTTTAAAAAAATAATGACAAAAAAATCGCCTCATCAAAAACATTTAGCCAAAAAATATGAAAACATAAAATTAACAATTCTCCACGTATTTACAAATAAATAAATTCAAAAGTATTGTTATACCAATAAAAATAAGAGAGGCAAAAAACGTAAATTAAAGAACACGAGACTTAATTAATGTATATAAAAAAAAAAAAGACAAACCATAAATTAAAAAAAAAAATTAAGACAAAATATGCCAAATCAACCAAAATAAAATTTAAAAAAAACCAAAAAAAAACATGTACGCAAAATACGCCAATCCAAACCGAAAATAAAAAAATTTAAAAAATTTAAAGCAAAATACGCCGAAATCAAACCAAAAAAATAAAAAACTTTTAAAAAAAAAAATCTAAGCAAAATACGACCAAATCCAAATCCAAAATTTAAAAAATAAAAAAATAAAAAAAAAAATTAAAAGCAAAAATACGGCTAAAATCCAAACCCCAAAATAAAATAAAATAAAAAATTAAGCAAAATACGCCCAAATCCAAAACCCCAAAATAAAAAATAAAAAAATTTAAACAAAATACGCCAAATCCAAACCGAAATAAAAAATAAATAAATAAATAATAATACATTTAAGCAAATTTGTCAAATCCAAACCCAAAAAGAAAAAAATTAAAAAAAAAAGCCAAAGGGCATATGGTACATTTAATAGGAAAGAAACCTCACAAATAAGCTAAAAAGTTAAAAAGTCAAAAAAAATCCTTTCCCTAAACAGATCTTAAACCCTAAAACTAAAATATTAAAAAATTAAAAAATTAAAAACCAACCCACTTTCCCAAACGGAGGCTAAAACAAACCTGACGTTTTCATCCCCCAATCACTTCACCTTGCCTCATTATTCATGGGTGTAGCTACTACCACAGAGACACCTCTGATAATGTTTCTGATTTTTTAAAAAGTTATATTTTTAAAAACATAATTAATATATTTAAGGATAAATTATAACACATCCCTTGTAAATTACTTAAATTATAAATTATCCTATAGTTTTTAAATTATATTATGCTTATAAGGTTTCTAATTTCATCAACAAATAGGTCATTTTATTAATAAATCATCAACCTAATTAATAGTTTTCAATAATGTTAAATTTTTATTTCAATAATAATTCAGATAATTTTATTATTTATAGGTGAACAGTTAGAAATTTTAACCTTTTTAATTAATTTCTGGTTAAATAAAAAATTCGGACAGAAATATTATTTATAATTTTCAAACCACAAAAAATAATTCGTATTTTAAGCCAAATTTTAAAGAATACATTTAATTTACACTATATTTAAAAAATCATACCGCATCCCAATTTATTTAAAGATATAATTTTGGAGATTTAAAATAAAGACTTGCCTAGCGTAAAACAAAAGAGATTGAATCTCAGTTTGAGAAAGCAAAAACGGTCGTCCTGCAGATTCCAAAATCAAACAAGACGAAAGACACTTCCATCACAGTAAAAAGCGTTATTATTCAATGGTCAGACTCACATGTATTTCACATACTTTATTAAATAAAACGAAAAAAAATTAAATAAAAAAAAATTCCAAACTATATAAAATTTATGCAAAAATTTAACAAAAATAACGTGACAATACAATTATTGTAAATAAATTTATTTTTAATAATGTTTATTTTAAAGTAAAAATTTCATAATAAATCAAATCATATAGGGTGTGTTTGTTGTATTATAGAGTAGCTTTTGAGAAAAAATACCAAAGACTGTTTTTGGTTTATTTTTTCTCTAAATATTCTCTATAAAATAACCTGGTTTTTTTTGTAGAGTAATTTTTGAAATAAAAAGTATAAAAACTTGTTTGGTGTCTTTTTTCAATATATCTCTAAAATAACTTTGTTTTTTTTGTAGAGTAGTTTTTGAGATAAAAAAGTATAAAAACTTATTTGGCTTACCTTTTTTGTAGAGTAATTTTGAGATAAAAGTTAAAAAACTTGTTTGGTTTGCCTTTTTGTAGAGTAATTTTTGAGATAAAAAGTACAAAAACTTGTTTGGTTTGTCTTTGTTGCAAACATGTTTCAAAAGTAATCCTGAAAATTGGGATACCAAACACATTTCTAAAAGTTTTTTTGGAAAATCTTTTAGGTTTGATTAGTTTTAAAAAATAATTTGTAGGGAATATATTCTAAAAAAAAAATTCAAAATCAAACCAACAAGGCCATAATTTTTAATTGGTGTAATATTACTCAAATAAAAAATAGAATGCACGGCTCTCCCACGTGCCCCTAAAATTCATGCATTACATCATATTCCCATTAAAACATTAGAAGCATTTATGCATGTTAAAATTTGGAGTAATGGCTTGAGATCTTAAAGATTTTATAAAAAATTTTATTAAAATTTGATATAGAGTATGAGATATCTACACAATATGAATCTCATGTGAGTCTTACACCCATTTAAGATTTTGATAAATTTTTGATAGAATTTTTAGCGTCTTTAACATATTTGTAAAATTTCTATATAATCTAAAATTTGAGAGTTATTAAGATAGACCCAATAATAAAATTTAAGAATAAAGAGACATTGATCTTGAGTATTTTGGTTATGTTTGGGAAATATATATATATATATTTTTTGACTAAAATAATCAATAAAGATTAAATTAAGTTAAAATAACCAATAAGATAAAATGTTACATTCAAACCATAATTATTTTATATTTTTTTTTTCACAACTATTAGATAAACTAAAAAAAAACTAATCATTCCAAAATACAACTTTTTTAATCAGGTTAAAATAGTCAACTAAACCAAAGAAAAACTAATTAAAATAGTTAAGTTTCCAATCGAGATCAAAATAAATTAAGTATTCTAACTCAATCTGGTTTGGGTACATGTATTTAGTAACTTTTTAATTTTTTTGGTTAAAATATGAGGGAAAAAAATAGTATATTTGTAATGACTTTTTGATTTTTTATAAAAGATGTGAAAAAAAGAAAAAGAAAAATAATCTTTGATTTTTTTTTTATAAGTTATAGACTTTTTAATTTTTTTTGTAATTTTTTAATTTTTTTAACTAAAGCAAGTGCATGCCAAACGAGATTTGCCTTCGTTTGGCTAACTTAGTTGGGCAAAAAAAGCCCAAAAGACAAAGGAGGTTAAATAAGTCAATAAGATAAAATATTAATTTCAAATTATAATAATTTTTCTTTTTTCTTAAAAAAATCAAAAAAATTACTAAACGAACTTTTTAATCTCAAATTAAAAAAGTCACGACTCAAAAAAATTAATTTAAAAAAATATATACCAAAGGATGACTTTGTCAAAACTTCATTTAAGATTGATAAATAATTCAAAAATTTTATCATCTTTAAGGGAAGTCGTTCGTGACGAGATAGTCCATCATGTTGATAATCAATGGGGGTGTTTTGGTGGGGTTTTTGAGCCAGCTTATGGCTCTTGGCTTTTTAAAAAGTTATTTTGGACTGTTTTGGTTAAACTTATTTCAAAACAGCTTTTCTGATTCTAACAACTTATTTTAAGTCAAAAAAGTTGATTCTGAGAAGCTGCTCACCCATTGCTTCTGATTATCAGCTTCTGCTGTGGACATGTTAATTCACGGTTATACTCTTAGATTTTTTTATTTATTATTTTTTAAAAAATAGAAAAAGACCTCAAATGGACTATAATATTATTATTATATTTTTTATGAAAAATAATGTAGACAAATAGTGAATAATAAAAAATAAAAATTAATTGAAAAAACTACTTCACAGCTTATGTAACAAACACTACACAACAACTTAAATCTATAATCCAACAGCTATACCAAACAGATTAACAGTTTCTGATTAAAGTCATAATGTATAATCTGTTAAGTTATAATCTATAATCTGTTTTAACAGCTACACCAAACAGTACCAATGAATGATGATGTGAGGTAGTAAAAGAGAGAGAAATAAACTAAAATTTATTTTTTAAACCAATTAAATTAATTTTTTTGTTACAATAATATAATAATTTTTATAATTTATTTAAAAATAAAAATAAACGGCAAACAAATTTTTATAACCAAAAAAAAAAAAACATAAAGATAGAGGTTGTTTTTTTTTTGGTTAAAAAAAGATAGAAGTTGTTTAAACAGCCATTTTGTAACAATCTAATCTTAAATATGATTTAAAACTGAATAAATTTTAATAGCCATCTGTGTCGTCACGTGCTGGGAAGAGTTCCTGTACGAGCAATCGAACGGCGTCTTCCGAATATGTGGGACCCACTTGTAGTCCCGGCTTATCCCTTTGTCAAATGAGGGTAGATTTCTCTACAAATCCCCAGGAAGGGTAATACTCTCTCTCTCTCTCTCTCTCTCAAATTATTTGGTGCCCATGGGCAGGTCATATCTAACCTGACCCAATCACAAGATTCTTAATCTCATCAGTGGCCAGAAACGCCTCTAGTGGGACCCATCCACACAACTGTTTTCCACATTGTTGGGAAATTTCTACGGTCCAGATAGATTACTTGCCAAGTGTCAATCATCAAGGTGTCAGTGGGTTGGAAATGTTTTGGTATGTGTAATACACACAACTCAATCCAACTACGATTTACGCGCGATTCCTTCCAGGGAGGACTTTTTCGGGTGTTTATTGGAAAATGCAAATATATAAAACGCAAACGCTGCTGTTGTTTCCGAATGAACCGCAATATACATACATACATACATACATACATCTCTCTCTCTCTCTCTCTCTCTCTCTCTAAAACAACAACAGCAGCAACAACACCACCGCCACCTTTCTCTCTCTAAAACAGCACCGCCACCATTTCTCGTCTACCTTGCTCTTCTGTGTCTATATTTATACGAACAACGCCATGAAAAAGAAGAAACGAGACACTGGTGCTTTCTTCGTCGGAATGCAAATCCTCCATGGAATACTGTCCCGTCGCAGCCGCCGCCTCGACCACCTCCTCCCCCTCATCTCCGCCGTCGCCGCCGTCCTTCTCTTCCTCCTTGTCCTTCTCTCATTTCTCTCTCCTCCGATCACCAATCATAACTCGGTATTCCTTCGTCTCTCTGTATCTTATTATTATTCATTTCTATTGCATTGGATTGGATTCATCACTCTCTCATTTGTCCATACAGTCCATCAATGGAGTTCACGTTCGATCGGATGTGGACGGAGTGACAGCCTTTCGTGTACCGGTTAGGGTTTCTTATCGTTTAATTCTTTTGATTGCTTATTCGATTTCGTTAATTCATTTGGATCTTGCCTAAACTCTGTATCGATTATCGTTTTTTGAATGTTTGTTTAGTCGAGTGGAGGGAGTTTAGGCCATGACTTATGGAGTTCGACGCAATCGAAATTCTTCTATGGTTGCAGTAATGCCAGCAATAAATTTCTGAGTACGTTTTCTCTCTGATTATGATCGTCGGAGTTGCGAGTTTGAACTGGTTATGATTAAGCACTTTGACTCTTTCAACTAATTTGAATTGGTAATTCGTTGAAATTTGGTATCAAGTTGAATTGGTCTTAATTTGTTTTCCCCTGAGGAAATAGATTATTCATGAATGAACTTAATTAAAAAAGATTTTCCGTTTAGTAGGGCTTTTAATCTCATGTAATTTTAGATTCTCTCATATTGAATTGATTTATACTGCGTTTTATGTGTTCCAGCTGCTGACGCTAAAACTCATGAAAATCGATACTTGTTGATTGCAACCAGTGGAGGCTTAAATCAACAAAGAACAGGGGTAACCTTCTTTAGCTACCTAATTCAGATATCAATCTCTACCAACTTAAGTGGTTGGTTTAATTATTGAAATTTTGACTTGTGCAAAAAGGATTACATTAGTGATGAGCCTAATGTTAGGTCACTACTGCAATGTTGAATTCACTGTTGATAATTGTGATATCATGAAATTTTTTGCTTTTTCCTTTTCCATGAGTGACAAAAATGGTATGCCTAGTTATTTATTTATGGTCAGCACCACACCTGTAGCTTCCTACTATTTGTGCAGTTCAATTAATGCGTGTAGAATCTAAGGCCATCTCTAGCCCTTACTCAAATTAGTAAAAGCTTTATTTGATATAAACCACTGGCAAGTTGGTTTGTGGCTAAAATAGTCACAAAAGACAAAATAGGCTATTTTAGCCACAACAAACAAAACATCATATCAAACCCATAATCATTACACTATTCTCTCACAAAAAAAGCCAAAAAGCCCTTCCCAAACCAAGCTTTTTAACCCAGACTAAAATAGTCAAAAAAGCCAAAAAGCCAACCCACTTCTTAGATTTAAGTATTAATTTGAGTAAAAGCTTCATTAATGACGGAGTAGTAAAATTGAAACTTGAAAGCCACGAATAGGTTAGAAATTTTCAGTAAAACTCGATTTGGTATAAGTTTGGACAATGGGGTGGAGAGTGGTTTAGGTGATTTTTGCTCAAATTTAAATTTGATACATGCTCGAGTCAAGGATTGGAGATGCCCTAAGATATTCAAATAGAGTATGTTAATTTCTATTTCTATACATTTAATTCATACAAAATGACGTGACAATGGCAATTTTGCAATTGTAAGCCACAATTAATTGTGTTTTTCCTTGAAATGAGAAAATCGCACAAGGACATGTCATTTGTTTTTGTTTACGAAGCATTACCTGAGAATGTTGTTATTAATGCTAAGAATTGTTCCTATTGTGGCTGCAGATAACAGATGCAGTTGTTGCAGCCTATATATTAAATGCCACACTTGTTGTTCCAAAGCTGGACCAGAAATCGTTCTGGAAGGACACTAGGTTGCTATATACAGTTGTTGATTTATCTGACTACTGAACTTCACTAATATAACTATTTTGTGCATTTATATGCTCTCTGTTTTTTGTGCAGCAACTTTTCTGAAATCTTTGACGTTGATTGGTTTATATTGCATCTTTCAAAAGATGTTAAAATCATTAAACAGCTTCCGACAAAGGGAGGGAAGGTTATTAATCCACACAGCATGCGTGTTCCAAGGAAGTGCAATCCAAGATGCTATGTAATCCGAGTATTACCTGTTCTTAATAAAAAGCATGTAAGTGTTTAGTTTCTTTGAGAGTTGCATGCATCTTTCATCAATAAGTTTATTGGATGTGTGTATTTACCAAGTTCACTGTTTGGAGCATATCTTATGTATGATTCCATTACCCAAATAGTGTTTAGTGCCAGATTGCATTCAAATATTTGAACAGCAACTTCAACTTTTGTATTTCTCTGCTGTTGCATCACCTATTGATGTCATTGCTTGGTCTGTCTAGGTCTAGCTAGCCATTTTCTGAACTTGGATGGGAGATTGGAACCATTGTACAGTTCAAAATTTAATTTCCTAAAGCTGATAATTTAAACAATTTTTATTCAGATGCGGTCAATCAAGCAAGACATATGCACGATATATGTGCAACCAGTGTGGTGGAATATAAAAAGATTTGGTGGATAAATGGGAGGTTTTTTTTTTTTTTGGATAATTGTAAATGGGAGTTTCTTACATCACCCATAGTAAAGCTATTTTTAGCTTAGGTATCAGATAAGCTGAAGAGTGATTGCTATCTGGGGAAACCTAGAAAAAGGCCATAAGTGAGGGGACTTCATCATGATGGTCTATGAAATCTTGGATCTGGGTTCAGGATCTTCTTTCAGTACCATGTTTAATATTTAATAAGTATCTGTGTTAATTCTTGCTCTCTCATAATGGTAGTTGGATGTTTGTAAGATGGTGTTTTTTTATACCCAAGTATAACCACTGTTTGCTTGAAAGACTCGCATCTGTTTTGGGGTCACGAAAGTTTTTAATTTCATTTGTTTATTCCAGAATTGGGACTTAGGCCATCATACTTTCTTTAATGCAGGCTGTCCAGCTCGGTAAGTTTGATTACAGGCTTTCAAATCGGTTGGCCACAGATCTACAGAAGCTGAGATGTAGGGTTAACTACCATGCTTTGCAGTTTACCAGTACGATTCATGAAATGGGTGAAAAATTGGTTGATAGGATGAGAATGAAAAGCAATCATTTTATTGCCCTGCACTTGAGGTAAACATGCATCTTGTCCTGAACCTTGCTGTTGGTAATGTGCTTACACAGCGTAGTTGGTTACTTGATAATTGATGTTAGTCACCAATTTTTCATATTACCCAATTACGAACAATAAGAGAGATATATGAATCCTGATATGATGTATGCATATGCCAGTTGTGCAATTGGGTACGTGTGTAAAGGCCTTCAAATCATTATATCATCATAATATCATGTGCACGTGTATGACCATGCTTTAGGAAACTTGCTTTGATCGTATGTGAAAGGCCTCCCAATTTTTTTTTCTTACTTTCACTTTATACTGAGCATGGGGTATTGATGTGAATACATGTTCCGTATGATGGTAGGTTTGAACCTGATATGCTTGCGTTCTCTGGATGCTATTATGGTGGCGGAGAAAAGGAAATAAGAGAACTAGGTGCAATACGGAAGAGGTGGAAAACTATACATGTGAGGTTTCACTTATTTTATAAAACATCATGCAACCTCAACTAGAGATTTAAAGCATTCCTAAGATGCCTATTTTGGAATGATGTAGAAAAGGAACCCTGACAAGGAACGAAGGCAAGGAAGATGCCCACTAACTCCTGAGGAAGTTGGTCTCATGCTGAGAGCACTTGGTTTTGGCAAGGATGTTCACATTTATGTGGCGTCTGGTGAAGTATATGGAGGTGAAGAGACATTAGCTCCTCTCAGAGCCCTCTTTCCAAATTTTCATTCAAAAGACACTATCGCGAGCAAGGAAGAGTTGGCTCCATTTTCTTCTTTTTCCTCTCGCTTGGCTGCACTAGACTTTATTGTTTGTGATGAGAGCGATGTTTTTGTCACGAACAATAATGGTAACATGGCTAGAATATTAGCTGGAAGAAGGTATGCTAGGGCTTATGCTGGCTTGTGTTTGTAAGAAATATCCGCATTGACTTTGATTTTAAAAGGTTTAAATAAGTTTTGGACTAACTGACTGGGCAACGTGTTTTTCAATTGCAGGAGATACTTTGGGCACAAACCAACAATCCGTCCAAATGCTAAAAAACTTTCTCGATTGTTCATGAGCCGAGATAACATGACATGGGAAGAGTTTGCCTCAAGAATTCGTACTAATCAGATTGGCTTCATGGGAGAGCCAAATGAGGTAAGGCCAGGCAGGGGTGAGTTCCATGAAAATCCTTCTTCCTGCATATGTGAAAAATCTGATGCCAAGGCAAGGGGAAATTTAGGTTCTAAAAGTCATGCCAATATCAGTCATGAAATTGTTATGGAAAATAGTACAAGGAGGGATACTGGTGAAACCACTGATGAGCAATTGGCAGAGGACGAGCAGGATTGGTCTGATACAGATGATGCAGAGAATGAAAATGGGCTTCAAGGGAAAAGGTTGCCTAATATAACAGATCAAGATCCTGGTCTGCTTCTGAAACCCGAGCAACCAGAGCTGGAAGAGATGTTTTCAGACTAATGTCTGATTAGAGCTACTGGTGCTCCTGGTGAGAAACAGAGTTATAGGCATACCTAATGCATTTCTTCATCAAATTCTTTGGGTTCTTTGCTTTACCTTAATGATGCCTTTCCTGAACTTAAGCAGCAGTGACAGCAGAAAGAATGTTGTAAATAACTGACGGGCAGCTCGTGGCAAGATATGAGTTGCAGTATTCATATTTTGGAGAGTATGTACATGAAGAGGCAATAGGAACATTTGTGGCTGAAGATGACATCTTTTTCTTTGATTCTTTAGCATAAAAATTTGTGGCAAGGGTAGGTATATGGGAGGAGGATGGAATTCTGTGTACAGACATTGTTTTGTTATTTGATTGTCTTCTTTTTTTGGGTTTTTGATTGTCTTCTTAAAAGTACAGGTATAAATATCAAATATTTGATTGTTTGAGAAATATTTTTGTATTATTGTAAAAAATTGCATGGCAGGGATAGAAAAACAAAGTGTGTGCTTTTTCTCTCTAGTTTCTTTTTTCCTGTTGGTAATTCAAAGGTGAAAATCATGATTTCATTAATTAGATCATTTGACGAGCTTGTTATCTCCTTTCAAGTGTGGAAGAAGGGGCCCAATTGGCCTGGTTATGGGCTTTCTTTTTGGTCTGGTGATTATGGGTTGATACATTGACGGACCATGAGGAGACTGGAGGTTGGGCCATGGGGCTTTCCTTCCTTGATAACAGGCCTTGTATATACGCATGTAATACAGACGTCAAAGAATGGGTAAAAGCTACTGAAACAGGCTTTTTAAATATAAGGTTAATTTAATTTTATTGTTGTTTAAATAATTTTTTCCTCCATCTGTAATTACGACGTGGTATGACTAGGGGTGAGCGTGGTCTGGATTGGGATAAAATCAGGATTAATCTGTTATTTACGGTTTCTGAAAAATTGAAATCAATCCAATCCGTTTAAATCGTGGAACCAATCCGAACTAATCCATTTAAACACGGATTGGATCGGTTTACGACTACGAATTCACATAATTAAATAATAAAATATATATATAACATTTTAATTTCATAAAAATATAAACATAGTACTATATTAGTTTTACAATAGTAACATGTCTTTCTATGATAGTGATATACTGTTTTAAAATGTAAACATACCATAAGAAAACTGGTTCACCATAAGTATTTAGATAATTACAAATCAAAACTAAAAACTAAAAAACAAAAGTAATAAAAGAAAATATTATGTGGGTTTAGGTTTGTGTTTAGGTTATATATGGAATAAGCGAAGATATTATGCGGGAGGGTGTATAATAAAAATATAGATTATTTATATACGGTTCGGATCGGTGCCAATCCATAACCATGGGGTTCAATCTGGAACCAATCCGTAGACTACGAATTTTTAATTCTTCAATCTGGAACCGAACCACGGATTCAAAAAACCAATCCAAACCTATCGGATTGCATTAAACTGGATCGAATTATGAATTTTACAGATTCCTAACTCAACCTTAGGTATGACATAAACACTAATAATCTTACATTAGTTAGGATAAAGATTTATGCAGAGAGTAATGTTAAAATATTTACTTAGATAGCATGATTAACAGAAATAAGGTTATACATTTTACAGAAAATTATACTTTGTCCTCCTAAAATTTCATTCATTTCTTACTTTGGCCCTTTAAGTTAAATTTTTTTCACCCTGACCCTTTATATTTGCAATCGTTCTCATTTTAAACTTTCATGTTTATAATCCGTCTTATTTTACTCATAAACTAACTTCCATTAAAAAAACTAATAGAATCTGTCACATCATTAATATATTAGCTCTATGTGTGATATAAAAAATTTACTAAAGATACACAAAAATAAAAAATAAAAAACAAAAAAAATTAGAATTTTTGTAGTCTTTAGTGAATTTGTTTGTTTAAAAAAATTATTCATAAACATTATTACATTATAAATATATCTAAATTAGATGTACCTAAAAAAATAAAAACAAATTCAACTAAAAAAAGAAAAAAATTTACTAAAGACGAAAAAAAATATATATATATTGGCTCAAACACATGTATTGTCAATTATGAAATAAAAAAGTTTACAATCGTTTTGTTTTTGTTTTTTTTTTTTTTTTTTGTCTTTAGTGAACTTTTTCTTTTTTTTTTAGTTAAATTTGCTTTTATTTTTTTAGGTGCATCTAAGTTAGATGCATCTATAATGTAATAATGTTTATGAATAAATTTAAAAAAAAAGTTCACTAAAGACTAAAAAAAATTCCAATTTTTGTATTTTTTCTTTTGTATTTTTTATTTTTTGCATATTTAGTGAATTTTTTACATCATATGTGAAGCTGATGTGTTGATAATGTGACAGATTATGTTAGTTTTTTTGGATGAAAGTTAGTTTATGAGTCAAGTAGAAAAAATTATAAACATGAAAAGTTAAAGTGAAAAAGATTACAAATATGAAGAGCCAAAGCGAAAAAAATAAAATTTAAAGAGCAAAAATGAAAATAATTATAAATATAAAAAGTCAAAGTAAGAATAATTATAAATATAAAAAGTCAAAATAAAAAGTAGGTAAAACTTTAAGAGAATAAAGTATAATTTAATCTACATCTTATTTCCTTTAGTTAAAAAAAATGCTAGTAGTGTAGAAGTTGGTCATGGTCAAAGATCATGCTCATGTTATTCTCAAAATTTTATAAATGAAACAGTAGCAATTTTTAAAGGAAATGTTGGAGTATGATTTCTCATTTTTGTCAGCAAAATAAAGGTCAAAGCATTAGACATTATCCGAGAGAAAGTGTGAGGTGGACATTTGATCGGGTTGATTCCATTTGGAGAGGGAGAAGGACGGACGTGGCAGCATTCACATCTCTATTGTTCTTCCTCAACAACCAATGCAATCCTCCATCGTCAACCCCCTCTTCTCTTCTTGTTCTATTCTGTTCTGTTGTGGTCTGAATAACCCACAACATTCACTCTAAAGTAGAGAGAAAATTTGGACGGATCCAGAGAGAGAGAGAGAGAGAGGGAAATGGCGTGGAGGCTCCCTACACAGCTGGCGACCACTCCTCCTCGTAGCGTCAAAACTTGCCCTCGACACGATACACTCTCATGGCGTCACACTCTATCCCCCGACGGCCTCTCTTCTTCACCACCATCCCCATCCTTGTTCACTCTTGCCTCCTCCTACTCCTCCTCTTCTCCAGGTACTGCCTGCCTCTTATACCAATCAATCAATCAATCAATTTTGGGTGATGAAATGACAAAATCAAAATAATACTTTTTTTATCTTGATATCAGGGCGCAGATGTCATGTGCAACCATTGGTAACATGTACAGCTCAGACTGCAAATCTAGCTCCGGGGACTCCAGTGAGGCCAACGAGCATATTGGTGGTGGGCTCCACCGGAACACTTGGGAGGCAGATTGTGAGGAGGGCTCTGGACGAGGGTTACGACGTCCGCTGCCTCGTCAGGCCTCGACCTGCCCCCGCCGACTTCCTCCGTGATTGGGGCGCCACCGTTGTCAATGTATCTATCTATCTATCTATCCAATTATTTGTCTGTGGTTTGTATCATTTTCAAGCTTTGCAATTTGTGTATAATCTATCTTATTAGTATTGTTTTTAAAAAATGGACTTCCCCAATTCAATCTCCACAATTATTTAAAAGTCGTCAATTTTACATCTATAACTTTTGGATAGTTTAATGAATTAGGAAAATGGGCTCAATTTGTAGTTAACAATTTTATGGGCATCCATCCTTGAAATGAAAAAAATGACAAAGCTTCAAAATATGTATGTTATTATGAGTTTGTGTGCTTTATAGAATAGAATCGAATAGATATACATATACATATACATATACATATTATTCACGAACATCAACCTCCGAATGTACATGTCAAAAACCTCCGAATGTAAAATTCTTTGTGTGCAGGCAGACCTGAGCAAACCAGAAACCATCCCTGCCACTTTGGTTGGTATCCATACAGTCATTGATTGCGCTACAGGGCGTCCTGAAGAACCCATCAAAACTGTAACTCTCTCTCTCTCTCTCACTACGACACTCTGATTTTTCTATTAACTGAATATGAAATATGTTTAACTAGCAATTCTTTATTACTCGATTGATCCCAGATCCCTATGAACTTCTTCTTACATGTTTCTTTGCATCTTTAGTTTTGGCATGTGGCCTCGCCCTTTACTTACCCACTTGTTCAATTTAGGTAGATTGGGAAGGAAAAGTTGCTCTAATACAATGTGCAAAAGCAATGGGAATTCAAAAGTTTGTGTTCTACTCCATCCACAACTGTGACAAGCATCCTGAAGTTCCTTTGATGGAGATCAAGTACTGCACTGAGAAGTTCCTCAAGGACTCTGGCATAAACCACATCATTATCCGGTTATGTGGTTTCATGCAGGTAACTGTTCCACTAATTGAACTGGAATATTTTTTATGTGATTGCCCGAATAGTTTGGGTGTTAGTATTCATCATTTTCATCTTTCAAACAAGGTCATGAATATGTTACATATCTGTGCCAAATGCTTCTTTTCTGTTTCATGTTGTGATGTATTTGCTGATATCTTTAGGTCTATATTTAGATCAAGATGTCTACATATATCACTTAAACAAAGTGATTCCATTCTATCTCTTGCCTCTCTTTCATTTTTTTAATTTTTATTTTAGAAATTTTCTTCCTTGGATACTCTGTGTGATCTTGTTGCCTATTTGTCCAGGGCCTAATAGGGCAGTATGCAGTTCCTATCTTAGAAGAGAAATCTGTCTGGGGAACTGATGCTCCAACACGAATAGCTTACATGGACACTCAGGTAAATACGAATTAATTCATGAAACCTCGTTAGCTTTTATTTATTTATTTATTTTTAAATTTTAAGGAAAGTGGTGTATAAACATTTTCCCAGTCTTTTCCAGGATATAGCTCGATTGACATTTATAGCTTTGCGAAACGAGAAAATTAATGGGAAGCTTCTCACATTTGCTGGTCCTCGGGCATGGACAACCCAAGAGGTAAATAATGTTTATAAATTTGTTGAATTCAATAACCATATTATTTCAAAAATATCTTCTTAATGTCTGCTTTGTTCACATATGCCTTTCTCAAATTTGATACTTCGTTACTAGAATTGATAGCTTTTGAATCTTCCAGCCCTTCAAATCTATTATCAAGCTACAATTTTTTTTTGGCCCAAAAACCATCTGATCAAGCTTCAAATTCTTCCATTCTTTGCTCTAACTTGAAGTACATAGTCTTTTTCTTTCTATTTACAAGTGTCTACTTGGTTTTAGGTGATAACACTGTGTGAAAGGCTAGCAGGGCAGGATGCAAATGTTACTACAGTCCCTGTCTCAGTTTTGAGATTAACTCGCCAAGTGACTCGATTGTTTGAGTGGACTAATGATGTTGCTGACAGATTGGCATTCTCAGAGGTAATAATTACGATTTCTATATTTCCACTGGACGGACTTAATAGTATTGTGTTCCAATCGTCCATTTCTTTGTTTTTGGGCCATCAATTTCCTCCAATTTCAAATTTCTCTGTCAAACTATGCAACCAAGCAAATTATGAATACTTGGAAAAGCCTTTGGCTTAGGTGTCGCTTCTTTTTTTTTTTGGGATAAATAATCGAACTTTATTAAAAAAGCATCAAGGCGATGCAAAGAATACAAAAAAAACACCAACCCACACCCGTCTGCATAAGCTAGCTAATCAAATCCTCCACAAACTATACAAAACTAAAAACATTAGGATCTACCACACCAGTAACCCAACTATGTAGCACCAGAAGAAGTCTATTTTCCAGCCAAAGAATAGAATGACTTAAATTCTGAAAAATACGTCGATTACGCTCGAACCACACCAACTATAATAAACAATGGGTAGCAAGTAACCAAGCCTTCTGACACCTCTTACCCACTGTCATCCCACCCCAGCTGAACAGCACGGCCCGCAAAGACCCCTCTTGCAACCAAATGACACCAAAAAGAGCAACAGTCAAACGCCAAAGCCAATACACAACCCGACAATGAACCAACAAATGATCCACCATTTCCACATCCCTACAACAAATACAACACCAATTTACAAGCACATGGTGCCGCCGAATCAAATTATCAATAGTAAGGATACGTCTCAAAGCAGCCGTCCAAGTGAAAAACATCACCTTGGAAAGAGAACCTGTCACCCAAATAGTCTGCCAAGGAAGCACAACTGTATCGCCCCCCACAAGCGCCCCATAAAATGATGACATAGTAAATACACCCTTAGATTTCCGAACCTCCCATACCAAAGAATCCACCCCCATCCCCCCATGCTGCAGCCCATACAAGAAACCCAGCAGATCCACTAATTGGTCCACCTCCCAATCTTGCACCTCATGACGAAGATGAACATTCCACACTTCTAAATTCCCTTGCCTCACCCTAACCGATGCATCCAACTTCTCCCCATCCGCTACAATCACATAAATCAAAGGGAACATGCCTGCCAAAGACATCTCACCACACCACTAGTCCTGCCGGAACCGAAACCAATCCCTCACCCCCACTTTGAACCGAACCTTACCCCAAAAATCCCTTCTCCCCAACCAAATCCCCCTCCATAAACCACGCCTATGAGATTGGTCCACCTTCTTTGAACACCAATCCCCCCTCTCTTCTCCATATTTAGCCACCACCACTCTTCTCCATAACCGTTCCCTTTCCTCTACGAACCGCCATAACCACTTCCCTAAAAGAGCCCGATTGAACACCCCTAACCTCCTCACCCCTAACCCCCCCCCCTCCTTAGGAGTACACACCCTCTCCTAATCCACCAAATGGTAATGGAAAACCTTCTAATGGAAAACCTCCCTCCATCCCACAAAAAATCCCCGTTGAAGCTTCTCTAGTCACCTTGCCACCGCCACAGGCATGACATGCAAAGACATAAAATACGTCAAGATACTAGAAAGAACACTCTTGATCAAAGTAAGCCGCCTCCCTTTGGATAAATACTGCAGCTTCCATCCCGTCAACCGTCGTTGCACTCTATCCACCACCACATCCCGCACCCCCAAAGGAAGACCCAAATAAGACACTGGTAGCATAGCCACCTTAGAATCCAAAACAACCGCCAACATCAGAAGACGTGCCACATCTCCCATTGAGATCAATTCCAATTTAGCCAAATTTACTCGAAGGCCAGACACCGCCTCAAAGCATAACAACACATACCGCAAATGACCAATCTAAATAGCATCCACATCACAAAAAATTAGCGCATCATCAGCATAGAAGAGATGAGAAACCGCCAAAGAATCAAGCCCCTCCCCCACCTCAAAACTCGACAACAAACCGCCTTGAATTGCCTTGGACAACAAACAACTCAGCGCCTCCATAACTAGTATGAACAATAAAAGGGACAAAGGATCGCCCTGCCGTAAACCTCTCCACGTGGAGAAAAAACCCTCCGGCGTCCCATTTACAAACACAAACATTCGAACCGTCGAAGTGCGAAAATGAATCCAACTCCTCCATCGCTCCCTCATCCTCTCCAACACATACAACAAAAACGTCCAATTGACGTTTGTCATATGCCTTCTAAATAGCCAGTTTACAAATTATCCCCTCTTTACCCTGACGCAATTGCGAATCCACACACTCATTAGCCACAAGAACAACATCCAAAATCTGACGACTGCCCACAAAAGCATTCTGCGACTCTGACACCACCCCCTCCAGCACACTTCGAAGTCTATTGGCCAGAACCTTGGCCAATAATTTATAGACACTTCCCAGGAGACTAATAGGCCTAAAGTCGCGGATATGAAAGTTGAATTCAAACTCCTCTCTGCCTTGTCTAATGAAACTGCTCGAATACTATTATCACCTTATTTTTCACCACCCCCCAACAGTGCTGTAAAAAATCAATAGAAAACCATCCAGTCCCGACGCCTTATCCCCCACCATACTCCTCAGCACACCCAAGACCTCCTCCTCAAAAAACGGTCTCTCCAATGACAAAACCTCTATCTCGGATACAGAATAAAAAACAATACCGTCCAATCCTGGCCTCCACACATCTCCCTCATCACGAAAAAGTTGCTGATAGAACCCCACTATACCTTCCCTAATCTCCACTTCGTTTGAAAACATCACCCCATTCGGCCGTATCCTCCCAATTTGATTCACCCGCCTATGAGCATTTGCCATTCAATGAAAGAATTTTGTATTACGATCTCCATCTTTCAACCACAAACATCTGAATTTCTGACGAAAGCTTATCTCCTCTATCCAAGCTATCCTAGCATATTCTTTTCAAGCCGTATCCCTACAAGCCACATCCTCCTCACATAGACCCCCCACAACTTCTCACTCATCCAACCCCTGCATCACTGAAACAATGTTTGCCTTCTAAGCCTCCAGACAACGAAAAATCTCTACATTTCATTTCTTTAGATCAGATTTAAGAAGCTTCAATTTCTTTGAAGCAGTGTTAACCCTTAGGGCTGTGTTTGAGCTTCACTGGAATATCTAATTTTTTTGGTATAAGACTAACTGCTTACCTATAAATAAATAAATAAGAAAAAATGATTGGAAGATGTGAATGGCTGTTATCGAAATCTTGTTATGTGCATGCCTTGCCATGACAGTTGTATATCAACAATCACTCTTTTATTGCAAATTGTGTTCTTTTGTCAAATTTTACTTTCATGGATTCATAAAGCATGCAGTGTAGTACTATTAGTATAAGTGGAGCTAACATGTGACCCGGGGCATTCCCAGGTCCTCACGAGTGATACAGTTTTCTCAACTCCAATGACTGAGACGTACAAGGTTCTTGGTGTGGATTCAAAAGACATTATTACGCTGGAGAAATATTTGCAGGATTACTTCACAAACATATTGAAGAAACATTTTTTCTCTTACAAAATTAAAAAATTCATCTCAAGCGAAATTTTTTAGTCCCAGGTTAAAAAGCTAAGCCACATCTTAAACGAAGGCTTAGTTCATCAGTTTGATTAATCAGTGGTCTGGGCCCCATCAAATTCAATACAGATTCGACAAAAAATTCCAATGAATTGATTCATCACTATCCTAGCCGTTATTGGGCCCATATTTCTTTATATTTTGAAAGTAGGGTGGTAGTCAGAGTCAAGAGGGGCAAAATGAGAGCTAAGGGATCAATGAGTTGATATTGACAAAAGCAAAAGCTTCTCATTCTTGGGTGAGCCCAAAGTAAAATTATTGCTTGCTTGATAGGTATTGTCCAACAGTGTCAGCAGATACAAATTCACTTGGGTCGGGCACACAGTGGCTCGCCTACATTAATTTTTTTAAGTCAAAATGACACATAAAATTATAATAATTTGTTCAATTAGTTTAGTTGATTGAAGAAAACACTTAAAGTTGTGTTTATGTGCATTTTGTGGAGGAAAAAGAGGGAGGATAATCCTCTTTGGTATTTTTTTTCATCCATTGAATTAACCGTTGAATGAAAAAAGTGTTGGAGAGGATCTAAATCTGAAAAAGAAAAGGAAATGCATTTTTTTTTTTAAATTCTTATATTTTATATATTTTTTCCTCGCATTTTCTATACTCTATAAATGTAACATCAAAACACAGTATTATGTTTGCCAATGATGGAAGCAAAGACTAACAAAAAAGTGGCAAATTAGGTGGGCCTTCAGCTCAAACAGCCACATAAATGCATGTGGCCCAGGCCTAGGGATAGTGGGTTGGGTTTGATTGCCTCTTTCTTATTTATTAGGGTTGAAATTTAAATTTGTGAAACCTAATTTGGTTCGAGATTGAGAATTTTTAAAAAAAAGCGCTCTGGAAGAGTTTTAATGGTTGTGGAGTTCGCATGTGATGTGATGTGTGTGTGTTTTTTTTTTACTCTTATCAAATCATTAGAATTTTTTTTAAGTTCAAAAATTAAAATTTTCTATTATCATTGTTTGTAAAAAAATGATTGGTAACATTAGTAATGCCCTTATTATACTATTCATCACATAATAACGTTGATGACGCAATGAATGTTCAATTATTTTATCGAACTGGAAAACACGTACCATCCCAATCTTGCTGGCGCATATACATATTGACTATATCATATGCATATTGGCTATATCAGAACTTCATCAGGAAAAGATTAAAAAAAGAAAAAGAAAAAAAAGGGAAGACTAGGAAACAAAATTAAGGACGCTAAAAGTAGTGATGTATGACATGTCATGGGACCAATGTTCTGTAAAACCAGATTGAGAATATCATTTCTTGTACGAAATTTTCTTGACCTGAAATTCAAACCCAATCAATCTACATCAACTATGAATCGTATAATGGTTTGGTTTGGGAAAATAATTAAAAGTTTTTTTTTTTCTTTCTTTAATTGATTTTTTTTAAAAATATATAAAAAATGTGATAGAGTGGATTGGATTATCAATTCGTGGAACTTACCAAACCCTTGTTTAGATGTAACAAAATGTCATAGGATTAGTAATAAAGGAGGCTTAGTAATCCCTCTATGTAGGGGGATTAACTTACGTGATTTTTAGGTGGAATTAGAAATATAGTGAGAAGATTGAGTTTTCTTGTACGAAATTTTCTTGACCTGAAATTCAAACCCAATCAATCTACATCAACTATGAATCGTATAATGGTTTGGTTTGGGAAAATAATTAAAAGTTTTTTTTTTTTTAATTGATTTTTTTTTTAAAATATATAAAAAATGTGATAGAGTGGATTGGATTATCAATTCGTGGAACCCACCAAACCCTTGTTTAGATGTAACAAAATGTCATAGGATTAGTAGTAAAGGAAGCTTAGTAATCATTCTATGTAGGGGGATTAACTTAAGGTGAATTTTAGGTGGAATTAGAAACATAGTAAGAAGATTGAGTCTATTTCATGTAAAAAATTTACTTTTTTAATTTTATGTTTTTACCAAGTACACCTATTTGTTTTAGTTTTTTTTATAAAAAATATAGAAATAATTTATTTATTTATTTTATATAAAAATAATTTAACAATCCCATCACTAATCATCTCCAATATATCATCAAAACAAACACACTTTTACTTAATTCCTTCACTAACAATCCTCTCACTAATAATCGCATTCAACCTAGTCCGCCAAACAAACGTGGCGTAAAAGTTGAGAATTGACTTTTACGCGCTTCCTAAAAGAGGCCAATATAAGGTAAATTACAAATACTCTCTGAAATTTACTTAAAGTGTATATTATTTTTTGTGATTTAAAAAATTATAAATACCCTCTTATTAGAATTTTTTATTTAATAGAATTAACTAAAAAAATAAAATTCATAATTATTTTTTTATATAATAATAAAATTACTTAAATTATTAATCGAAACATATTTCTAATATCATTAAAAAGTTCTAGAATCACTTATGAATTTTATTATTACAGAATAGATGGCTTTAATTAATTTTTATATAATAATAAAATTACTTAAATTATTAATCGAAACATATTTCTAATATCATTAAAAAATTATTAATTGACTTGGTAATATATTAATAAAAGAGGCGATTTGTTATTATGAAATTAGAAATCTCAAAGAGTGAAATGTAATTTCTAAAATCACTTATGCTAATTATTATTTTAATCAAATTTTAGTGAGAGTGTATTTGTAATTTAACTTATAATATGTAAATATGAATAAAAAAAATAAAGAAAACAGATAAAGAAAAGTAAATCTCCACGTTAACTTGGGAAAAATGATCCAACCCACTATTTTTTGGTTTGACGACTACTCTAATTTGTGTAAGATCACAAATTTGTGAATTTGTATTAGTTTGCTTGATAGAATTTTTTATTACTCTCTCCGTTTTAAAATAGTAGCACCTTATTTTATTTTTTATTATCTCAAAATATTAATTCTTTTTTAAAAATTAAGAACTAAAATAATATGAATTTTTTATTTTATCCTTCTTTTAAATTTACTAACAACACAAAAAGTACAATTATAATTATTAATATTCTAAAAAAATGTACTATCAAAGAGTAATTTTAAAAAATTAATATTTTTAACGTACAATAATTGTACTTAAAAAAAAAGTTAGATTCTTCAAAAGAGACTATTATTTTGAGGCGAAAAGAGTATAATTTATTAGATATAAATAGTTTAAATAAATTTAAAAAATTAGTTATTTAAAAATTAGAAGAGGGGCTTGTCTTCTGCTTTCTAGTTATTTATTTTTTTAACTTATAATAAATTATACCAAATTGTCACGTCATTATTCAAATTTGAATTTATTTAGTAGTCAAGTGTATTTGATATCACACTGTGTGAGTGATTTTCTGATCACACTGCCCGTTTAGTAATCAGTTAGAGAGTACCGACAGAATAGATGGCTTCAATTAACCTGTAACACAAAGAGAAGATTCCGGCGGTGGTTCGTCCACCCGGGGGCACTCCGACGATCAAGTCAATATATCTCTCAAAGATAAATCAAGTGCTAAACTCACAAGTTTGAGTATCAAAAGCATAAAATTGCGTACCTTAGACCCACGGAGGTGCCTCTCTTTTATAGTTTACTCAATCCTAGTCCCACTAGAAGCCTGACTTCTATAGACTCCAATTCAGTACTTACTTTGGACTCCTCAAGAGATAAAGATAAACTCCCTAAGAGCTTTATCCTCATCTTGACTAAGTCTCCTCTTCATTTTAGGACTCTTGTCCCTTATCTGTTTATCTCGGATTCCGATATCTTCGGAGATAACCTCGACAACGCCGAGATAACCTCGGCATAATGACCAGGACACGTGACACCTCGGCTGACACATCGGCGTTACCTTACCACGTGTTGGTACTCAGAAAATATATCCCCACAACTGCCCCCTAGGTTCTATTACCTCGGCATTTTGAGGTGATGGAACCTATATCGGTATTTCCTTTTGTACATCGGCTCAAGAACTCCTCAGCCGAGGTCATTCATTTCAGGCCAACATGTTTTCTTCAGAGAACAAGAATTCCAGTGAATTCTTTCACGTGTGTGAGCTGTCACGTATCATTTACTTAATCGTTTCATTCACGCATCTCCACCTTATTAGACCGTGCCTATAACGCGCTTGCAAGCCGTTTTGCGTCTGTGTGCGCCGTCTGACGTATGCGTTGTCCCAGGTGCATTCAATGCTCTGTTTTGCCGCCGTTTCAAATTTTTGACAAAACTTTTCCCCCTTTCTTCATTTTTCACTTTTGTATTCGATTTCTCTTCGCTTTTTCTCTCTTTAAATTTTCTCTTTGTGAGTCCGCCATTGTTCAAGCTTTTTTGCTCTGAAACTTATTTCGTTCACCCCTTTCGGTGTGTTTTGCACCATTTTGTTGCCTTCACAACCATCAACTGATTTCGGCGATCTTTACATCGGCTTCATATTTTCTGGTAAGCAATCTGTTTCTTCTTATTCCAGTTTCTTGAGTTTTTCTGGAATTTCTTATTTACTACTGCCTTGCTCAAACAATTAATTTGTGAATCATACATCTGAATGCGTTGATTTCGCTTTTTGCTTATGCCTTAAATACATGTATTGTTCATAGTTTTCTTGCACGTCTTGCCACTGTTCTTGGACTTCAACCCTTTGTATTCTTCATGTTCTTGATAGTCCATCTCTGTTCTTGATTCTGAAACTCATCTTTTGTTTTCTGTTTTTTGTGTCTTTTCCAGATCTGTGCCTTTGATCTTCATCTCCATAGTTTTAGGTTTGGAATTTGTCTGTAGAATCCACATTTTAGGAAAAACTGAAACATCCCTTACAAATTTCTGCACCAGTTCAAACCCAGGTTTTTTGCCGAGGTCTTATTAATCCTCTTAAAACATTTTTTCTCTGAAATCCAACCCCTCTAATTCAGGTCGATATCATGGGTATGTGGAGACATAGGGTAGATACCCCAACCAAACTTGAGTACTTTAGGCAAGAGTTCTCTATCCCTGCTGATGTC